GCCCTTTCAGTGTCACTCAATCAAGTCTTACCATGTACCAATTGTCTTACGTGTGGTGACAACTTTGCCTTGAATTTTAAAAGGAGGAAAGGTTATCATTACTAGGTCAATCTGCGCTTTATGTCCATGGATTAAATAAACGATTATAGACTCTATAAACTTGCCGTGTATCTCTCGTTTTATCATCTATCGAAATGATGAGAATAATAGTCGCAATTAATCTGGTTCAAGGAGAGCTATTAGAGGCAAGACGTTCATACTTACCTTGTGAGAGGATCCTGACTGCATTCCATATTAAGACGATAAAGATCATTGTGTGTGTGTACCATCATGTGTGTTAAGTAAAGGTACATGTTTATCCTCTTCACTTTATATAATTATTTGACTGTTTCCTCTCTCCACCCCTCCTACCCTGCTTCGTGTTACAACAGTTCTTTGTGTTTTTCTTCAATTATTTGTACTTGGTTTTATAGTTCTCTTTTCTGTTTACATAAAAAAATATGTAACTCGGTGTAGCATTAAGGTTAAGTCTTTCAGTATTATACCTTTGTGCTCTGAATAGTTGATCGTCTTTAAAACTTTTTTTTTTGTCACTTTCTGGAATTTGCATATTTTATAAGTTTCGGTGCCGCCCAACTACTTTTTTCTATTTTACTTTCAAATATATATCTTTAGGTATATTGTACAGTATAGAAGAAACTAATAATATATTGTTATTCAAGAAAAAAACAATTGGTCGTAAATTCTCGGCGTTTCATCGTTAGGAATTGTTATATATTATCCAGTATTTTTTTGTATATGCTGAATAGAATATTGTGTTCATTATCACTTGTGCAGTCAACCAAAAATGCATCGACCCTTACCCTGGGTCTCGTGCTCGCAATTTTACCTGGCAGTACTTGGTAAAGGAAGGCTGTATGTAAAGGTGATTGTCATTGGTGGATCTATTTTCGTCTGCATTACTGTCAAGATAAAGATAAAACAAACCAAAGGTAACATTTTTATAATAATTAACTATTCATCATTATTTTGAATTATGAGAAGTCTCCAAATGATCGTATATTTGCTTAAATAACGAAAAAATTATATTAATGAATTGACAACTCAACTACAACCACAGCTGCCACGAGATTCTTGTATTAGAATGTGTTCGTGGGTGAATATTACATTATGTGAGGAATATTACTTAATGTGAGGAGTGTTACATTATGTGATCAATATTACATTGTGTTAGGTATCATAAAATTTATCTTGGACTGCGTGCTACTCTAACACTCTTCAATGTGTGGCCTGTAATTAAGTTTTGTTATGAAGACGGATGAGAGAAGAGAGAGAGAGAGAGAGAGAGAGAGAGAGAGAGAGAGAGCATATTAAAAGAAACTTGCTGGACTTATGAACAAGTTGAGTGATTGATTATTTACGAAAATTTATGGGACATTTTTTTCCTTAAACATTGTGATGATTTATGAAAGATTTTGACGTATGATTACGTCTTTATGAAACTTCTTGTCAACCCCTTCACTTCCCCCCCTTCACCTCTACACCTCCCCCTTCACCCCTCACACCTCTCATGCTACCCACCAGCCTCCCGCAACCACACACCACCCACCAAACACACCACCCACCAAACACACCACCCACCAAACACACGACAGGGAATAGACCCAGATTTCCTTTAATATAAGTTGCATTAAGTATGATTGCACATATACCAAGTTTTTTGCTTAAATTTTTACTTAAATTTGAATACATTATGACCTAAGTAACTTGACATTGTTTTGTGTATTTAAAAGCACATTTTCCAACGCCTGATGCAGTATTACAAATTAAGTGAGAGGATGGTAGGGGGGGAGGGAACGAGGGTGCGAAGGAAGGAAGGAGGGAAGGTAGGAAGTAGGCAGAGAAGGAAGGAAGGAAGGAAGGAAGGAAGGAAGGAAGGACCCATTTCCACTATAAAGTTAACCTAAGTTGACTTGAAATGCGATATAAAGTGAATTTGGTTCCCATTTGACTGTCCATTATGGTTGGCACTGTAATCGACCACCTGAAATTCCCAAATTGTATAGTTAGGTCCCTCGGATAATCAAGAGTTCCCTGGTTTTGAGTCATTGACCCAGTGTTCTTTCCTGCCGGCTACCGCGTCCTTAAAATTAGATTGGTTAGGTTAGGTTAGGTTAGGCTTGGCTTGGCTAGGCTAAATAAGGTCAGGTTATGTTAAGTGTAGCGACGTCTGACACTGTATGAAAAACGACCTCGCCCAACTCTAAATGTTACGATGAATTGGATATTTATGACGTCGTAAAGAGAGCGACCGAACATTAACACGGACTGGATTGTGCAGACATAAAGAAATATATGACGTGTAGCGGAGACTGAGCCACCCGACTATTACTCAGTGCTTTCCTATCTTTGTACTCACCCACACAACACACACCCACACAACCCTCACTTACCAAACGCAATACTCACTCACCCACCAAACACAACACACAAGACCCCCCCCTCCCCTCCCAACATGCAGGGCAGGAAATGCAATATTCCACACACACACACACACACACACACACACACACACACACACACACTACATCCCTACCCACCCTCTACCCCTTCACCCACACCCCACCCACTACACTCTCACCCACACCCCAAACTTGACACCCCTCCCACGACCCACCCTCTACACCGCACCCATAACCCACACACTACACCCCCAGCCACCCTCTACACCTGCACCCATAACCACACACGACACCCCCAGCCACCTCACTGGCCACCACCCCAGCCACCCTCTACACCCGCCATCCACACACTACACCCCGCCATCACACACACACCCCCCAGCCACACACCCCCCAGCCACCCTCTACACCACCCAAGATACTCAATTCCCTCACAACTCGTAGGGCTGACACCCACATCCTCCGGGACTTTAGAGACAAAATGCAGATATCAGAGAGATGCAAATTTGCCAGCCAGTTGTCATGTTGAGGCATCGGCCCCCCACCCCCCCTCCCCACTTCTCCACTCAGTCACCCTGGCAACGAACGTGTCCTGTGAGAGGTGAGGTTTCGGGGGATGGTGGGTAGTGGGTTGGGGAAGGGGTGGGTTGGGGAAGGAGTGGGTTGGGGAAGGGGCGGGTTGGGGAAGGGGTGGGTTGGGGAAGGGGTGGGCTGGAGGGGAAGAGTAGCTTAAGTGATGAACTGGTGCTGGTTAAGAGACCATTGTGCTCCAGGTATCATCATCATCATCATCATCATCATCATCATCATCATCATCATCATCATCATCATCATCATCATCATCATCATCATCATCATCATCATCATCATCATCATCATCATCATCATCATCATCATCATCATCATCATCATCATCATCATCATCATCATCATCATGCCTTTATGGTCGTATTACAGTATAATAAAATGGTCAGTCGTTAATTAAGGTTCTGTTCTTAGTCTAATTTTCTTTCACCGTTTAGTTGTGGGGAAAATGTTATATTGGGCAGCAACAGACAAAGGTCAAGGTCAAAGGTCATCAGTGAAGGTCAACCCACACTAGGAAGCATACATGCATACACAGTAACTGCTAAAATCCTAGTAGTCAGTATATAGATAATGATACTCTTATTACAGAGAGTGAAGAGGTATTACTAGAACTAATCCCTTAACCAAAAAAAAATATGGTTGAATATAGTTATAAAAAAAATAATTCATGTGTGATCGAGGGAGTACTACTGTAGGTACTGTTGTGTAGGTCAGCAAGCACCACAAGGTCAGAGGCTGTTAATAATAAGTAAAGTCGATGAAGGGAGAATGTCAGATATCAATGGGTAGAATTGAGGATAGGAAGGACAGGTGAAGGATGAGATTTGGATGGGTGAATGAAATTAAAAACTATGGTCACCTGGAGATATAAACAATATTAGTGAGATGTATTGAAGACTCCTTCCTCTCTCCTCCCTGGGTACGCTTACAGTGGACAGCCTTGGTCGCCAATCTTCACCTGATATGGAGATGGCACCTGGAGGCTAATGTTGGAGAATACTTGTGAGATTATTATGTATTTATCTGTAGATGGAACGGTGTATTATTATTATTATTATTATTATTATTATTATTATTATTATTATTATTATGATTATGATTATGATTATGATTATGATTATTATTATTATTATTATTATTATTATTGTTGTTGTTAGTACTATTGTTTTTTTGTGGGTCTTACTAAATATTATTGTTTACGTGTTTAGGAGAGGAAGCGAATAACTCGAGTAAAGAATTGAAGAGGACTAAACATAGAAAGAAATAATAGGTAAAAAAAATGAACAAAAGCAGCAGGACACAATCAACAAATAAAAACAATATGTAGACTAATAAATACAATAATAAAGAGAGAATTAGAGGAAAGGTGAAGTATTAAGGCGGTAATAGAGCAAAGGATATTAAAGAGGGTGAGGAGGGTTTTAGAGAGATAATGAAGGGATGAATAATATTACTGGTTAATGAGAGTTATTGGGTGTTGAAGAAAACGAGGGAAGTTCACCAGAGACTCGACTGGGGATCAGGGAAGATCTAGGCAAGGCGAAGGAAATTATTTTTTTTTAAGGAACGTAAGAGATGGTAAAGGGGAGATAAATGAAGTAGAATGAAGGCAACAGATGTGGGGGAGAAGGGAGGGGGGGGGTTGAGGTGAGGGTGTTGGTAGGTGTGGTAGGGAGGTGGAGGAGGTGTAGGTAGGTGGAGGGGAGGTTGGGAGGTGTTGGTAGGTGTGGTAGGGAGGTTGAGGTGAGGTGTTGGTAGGTGTGGTAGGGAGGTTGAGGTGAGGTGTTGGTAGGTGTGGTAGGGAGGTTGAGGTGAGGGTTGGTGGATTAGCATGACAAGGTTGGCAAGGAGGTGAATTGAGTGGAGAATGGTGAAGTTATACCAGGAAGTGTCTCGCCAATTAGGTTGATGAACAGAATACTAAGTCACTGGTCGACCCTCGTGTGAATGATGGAACCAAAGGCAAGAAATGTAAAGAGTAATAGGGACGAGATAGTAGGCTAAGTTAAGGACTAGGGGTATGGTAAGTTAAGGACGAGATAGTAGGCCAGTATGGTGTTATGACGAGATTAGGACGAGATGGTGTTAAGGACGAGATAGTAGGCCAATATGGGTTAGGACGAGATAGTAGGCCAGTATGGTGTTAAGGACGAGATAGTAGGCCAGTATGGTGCTAAGGACGAGATAGTAGGCCAGTATGGTGTTAAGGACGAGATAGTAGGCCAGTATGGTGCTAAGGACGAGATAGTAGGCCAGTATGGTGTTAAGGACGACGAGATAGTAGGCCAGTATGGTGTTGGGCAGATAGGTGGCCAATGGTGTTAAGGACGAGATATAGGCCAGTATGGTGTTAAGGACGAGATAGAATATGGTGTTGGAGGAGTATAGTTATGGTGTATGTTAAGGTCGAGATATAGGCCAGTATGGTGCTAAGGACGAGATAGTAGGCAGTATGGTGTTAAGGACGAGATAGTAGGCCAGTATGGTGCTAAGGACGAGATAGTAGGAGTATGGTGTTAAGGACGAGGCAGTAGGCCAGTATGGTGTTAAGACGAGACATAGGCCAGTAGTCAGTATGGTGTTAAGGACGAGATAGTAGGCCAGTATGGTGTTAAGGACGAGATAGTAGGCCAGTATGGTGTTAAGGACGAGATAGTAGGCAGTATAAAAGTTGGATGTTAGGCCGGGGCTAAGGACGAGATAGTAGGCCAATATGGTGTTAAGGACGAGATAGTAGGCCAGTATGGTGCTAAGGACGAAATAGTAGGCCAGTATGGTGTTAAGGACGAGATAGTAGGCCAGTATGGTGCTAAGGACGAGATAGTAGGCCAGTATGGTGTTAAGGACGAGATAGTAGGCCAGTATGGTGTTAAGGACGAGATAGTAGGCCAGTATGGTGCTAAGGACGAGATAGTAGGCCAGTATGGTGTTAAGGACGAGATAGTAGGCCAGTATGGTGTTAAGGACGAGATAGTAGGCCAGTATGGTGCTAAGGACGAGATAGTAGGCCAGTATGGTGTTAAGGACGAGATAGTAGGCCAGTATGGTGTTAAGGACGAGATAGTAGGCCAGTATGGTGCTAAGGACGAGATAGTAGGCCAGTATGGTGCTAAGGACGAGATAGTAGGCCAGTATGGTGTTAAGGACGAGATAGTAGGCCAGTATGGTGTTAAGGACGAGATAGTAGGCCAGTATGGTGTTAAGGACGAGATAGTAAAGAAATATGATAGTGATCCAATAGGAATTCCTGCAGTTGGCTCGTTGTTTACGCAGAGTGTTTTCAGGAAGTAGGTGTTGTCGCCTGGTGTTGACTTCCTACCAGAGTTTGAAGTTAAAACATCCTCAGATATGAAGTTAGTCACTACGGTGCGTTATTAAGAACGATCACAAGTGTTGGATTAAAGGTGAGAAAACGCTTCGATTGTGTTCCTTGGACACTTGCAGACGGGAAGGTTGGCTGACATTGATTGACCAAAAGAAGGAATTTTAGTGTTACGACCTGTACAGGAGACACCGTGTGCACCAAAATAATACTTGGAGGGGGGGGGGCTTCATTTGTTGTTTACCAATATGATTGTAAATTTATTTAAATACATAAATAGAGGGTCTGCTTGTATTTAATACCCTTTGTCAGGTTTCAGCAGGAAAGATGAAAATAAGGATTCATTCGTCTATTTCAAGTCATGCAATGTTGCTTAGGTTTCAGCTTCTCATTGTCATTATTATGTAAAGTTGAGACTGCAATACTTGTCTGCGTATAGTCTCTCCAAAGGCTATCTTTACGGTTTTGTGTCAAACAATATGACACAACCGACAAAGGATTTTGACAACCCTACCCAGACAACAAGAGCCTCAGTGTTCGGAACCCTCCGTAAAGACACCACTTGGAGTGACTGTACAGTTATATAACACGTATTCTTAGACAGTCAGTCAACGTTTTATAAATTGGTTACTTATCTTATTCCATTAAGCACCTGGAAGCCAGACATCCTCGATGGTCTGGGATAATGATCATCAGAAGAGTTTACTGAAATAAGGAGAATTTGAAGCAATTTTGCTGCAACAACGACCATAGACTGTAGTGGTGCCAGACTAATATTATGATTGTAACCGACTCATAGTATATACAGTAGAGTTGGGTGACGTGTTGCCTGTGTTTAGCTACGTTTTGAAATATGTTCCATCACTTATTCTTTTAGCATTTTGTACAAATTCACAAACGTGACGATTAGTAAGAAAATGATTGGAGTGCAATATAGTTTATAGGCGTCAAATGTTTTTCTTTTTTGTAATACAGTATATATATTTTTTTCGTGTGGAAGACAAGGGGAATTATGCGACCGAGGAAACGGTTAATAAACAAATATCGTTGGGCGATCTATCAGAAACGTTCAACTGTCCGGGGATGTCATCTACTGCCCACACACATGTATACATCGACTACAACATCAATGGTTTACAAACACAACGTGCCGTAAATGATGTTGAGGAGTACATGGTGAACAGGTGTGATGTTGGAGGATAGGTGGTGAACCACTATGCTATTATGGCCAGGATCCACAATCCTCATATATCTGCCCACATGTGGACAGAAAATTTGTATTTTCAGCTGACATGATGGCATTCAAAATATTTGATGAGCTGCCGGTTAAGCTGATAAAGCTGTTTTAGCACTTGATGCAGCAAACACCTAATCTGATACTTTGTAAGACTAGGAAACATTATACCTGGCATAAGTACATAAAATGCTTGGAACGTTTACGGTCGGAATTCACAGAGATTTTCAGAGATTCAGAGTAAGAAAATTTTGTTCTCATTTGTTTCAAATCCGTTTCTTTTTAAACAGACGAGGACAGTCATTGTCAGCCATATATTGACGGAGGAACTCTTAGTGATGCACAGCTCACAAAACTGTAGAGTCGTTGTTAGACTTTAAAACAAAATCCTCAGGCAACAGTGAAACGAATAGATATCATAGTGTTTTCGATGTACGAGTCAACCTACTGCTGCCAGCACACTTATATCAAGATCAAGTGCTGTACAGTATCTACCGTTCAAAGTTCACTAACTCTCACATAAAAGAACTCGTGGAAACAGATTTGTTAAATTTGAACCAGATTTTACAAACGATGCAGAAGATATTCAGTCTTGTATTATTAAATGTAATTTTAAGTTGCCACTCCATTAGGTTAATTAAATTAGTGTACTGTATAAAAGTACTTGTCTGAACATATATGGTTTGCTTTTTAATGCCCAATTTAATGATTTTTTTTCTGAAATTATATACGTACAGTACAGTACAGTACATAATACACTGATGGTTGCGGCCGACTACTGATCTCTTGCTTCATAATGTGATCGATTACTATATAAAGGTTGCCGACCAGTATGATTTCTGGACTAATAGTGAACCAGTTTGATAAATAGTGTATAATGTTTAGGGCTCAGCTGTAACATACGTAACTACAGTTCTGGTACACAATTCTCAGATGGACTACAGTTATATGCGAGTATTTGAACCTTAATTTCCCTTTAATTAATGTAGTGTGTATATTCCCTTGTGTGATGTGTTGTGTTGGCAGGGGTTCTAGTTCAAGAGTTACCCTGAGGATATAACATATGTCTTCAGAACTCGATATTGTTGAGAAAGATACACAGGTCTTCAGTGTCTGTGCGTGAGGGACTGGAGCCATATTTTGAATAGATTTATAGTGTTTCAGTTTGAGATTGAATTTGTTGCTAAGTTTTAAAGCTCTGTATCTTGTCCAGGAGTTACAAGTTGGTGATCTCCACGACGTAACAGGGATGGCTCTTTGTCTCGCACCCTTACCTTTCTTAATTTATGTCTGACTACTCTGCCACTGTGAACCCAGAGCCACGGGACAACCTGCCTTTACTTATCACTGAGCTGTGCAAACTGGTGGGAAGAGAATACGCTTGCTCCATGTACTTACGACTGACAACAGTGTGTAAATAGAGTTAACTGCCAATTATAGTAGTCTTACCTTTGTTCTGCGAATATCTTTATTAAGACTCTCGTGATCACTGAGGCGGTCATCACCTGTCCTTAATGAACCTTTATGTCTAATGTCGTAGAATAAAAAAATAAAAAAAAGCAAATAAACCAAGTATAGTGTGTGTGTGTGTGTGTGTGCTTAGCGTGACTTATATTATGACTATTGCGCACATTCTTTACATCTTAATTAGTTTAAAATCTTACATTTAATGCCTACGAGGTGTAATTGGTCATCAGGTGGATTACAGACGGTGGGTGTCGCCTGGTTCCAATCACTACTGGATTATACATTAATTTATTTATTGAATATAAATGCATAATCACATTAAACAAAATTTTAACATTGGGTTATACGTTTGCACAATCCATACAAATAGTTTTCCTCATAATCCCTGGCACAATTTATGTGAAATATTATGACATATAGATATAACTTGCTTGGCGTAATACAAAAACTCGGATATCCAGCTCATGTGTAATATTTTTTCGTAAAATTGCAAAGTGAATACACGTCTCTTTGATTTATTAAGCACGTCAGCCAGGTCACGAGAGAAGGGTGCTCAGTGCCCCTCTTTTAACCCAACATGTCACAGGTCGATGCCTAGATCAAGGCCATGCCGGAGGAGGGGGTGGGGGGGGGGAGGGAGATTATGAAATTTACAATTATTTTGAAATGTTTTAATCTATGAATCACGAAGACTTCCCACAAGAAGAGAAAATCAAGCTCATATACATTCTGCTAATTCACAGTAAATGAGCTTGACTTTACGAGGAACAGCTTTAAGGCTCCCGTGCCTGCGGTGGGCAAATATGAAATCTGACCTGGGTTTGAGAAAAGTGACAATAAGCAAATCTTTTTTGGGACTTAGTCAATTTTCTCATGTAAAGTGACGTAGGTCAATCTGGCATCGACCTTTCTTACCCTTGACCTCTGGTGCTTCTCTTGAGCGTGTGCCAATATACTGAGTTTGTTGATTGTTCTTTATTGTGATGAACGCTTCTCATGTTTTTAAATGGATAGAACAATAATGTACCTGGATATTACCAACGAGTCTTATATAATAGATATGACCCTAATAAATAAGTAAGAAGTATAGAGAATATATTTCATTACTTATATTTATATCTTGAGATTAAAAGAAAGGAAAATTTAAATTATTACATAGTTGGTACACACACATACCCAGAGGCTACTAGTGGATAAATATATTTACGTATGATTACAATATGTACTCCACTCATCACGGTGTGTATGTACAGTATATAGAAGAAAATACCATGTGGTTGTTTGGTGTTGATGATATAGGACTGGTTGTGTGATCCTTCCACGATATTCCAAGAACTGTCGAGTTGTATTAGATTTGCCTGGAAATGCCTTATGGAAACTTCTTGGAAAAAAAAAATATATATATAAGAATCGATCATAGTTTTCCTGGAAATGTCTTCATGATGGTTTAGGTCGCCGATGTGTTTCACTTCCAAGATAACTACAGTATATTGCATGAACCATTTCTGAGGTGAATTAAGGGCTAAAAAAAAAAATAATAATAAAAAAAATCCAAATCTTACAGTGGCTTTAAGTTTGTCTGTGGTCTGACATATTCGTAATCCATAAATGCGAATGGTTGCGGTCTTGGGTTTGGTCTCGGTCTCGGACATAGTTGGTCTCGATTACTCACTGGTATAAAGGCAGAAAGGGAGGAGTTCGAAGAAGGAATGAATATAGCAACCAGATACACTGTCTCTCTCACGACATGAGCCGGAGCACCAGCATACGAGCCAGTGTTGATAAGAGAAAGATTTGGTTGAAGATTAGATGCTAAGACTGTCACTTGCCATGATGACTTCTGGCTCACTCATTCGTCATTATACTAAATAGAATCATCGCTATCGGTCTAGTTGTAATCATCCCTGAGAGACTAACTGTAAAGACTGATCTGGGGGGGATACGTTGCTACAGAGGTTAATGATTCGACTCGTTTGTTTGGTTTCAGAGGCATCAGGGATATTTGGCTGCTTAGCTCCCACCTAGAGAGAGAGAGAGAGAGAGAGAGAGAGAGAGAGAGAGAGAGAGAGAGAGAGAGAGTAAAATCAACTACATTGTTATAAAAACGTCACAATACCGGGTTAGCGAACAGGGAGTGAGTCCGTCCATTTACTACCATGATGTTACGTATGACCAGCAGCAGCATTGATAGCACTCACACTGGACACCGTAATTAATAATACCCTTTGAATAATGTTTTATGCCTGTAGTAAGCAGACATAATACCTG